TCTTGCAGCGAGTTGCTCTTGCCACGTGCTTTGGCGCTCGCTGATGAACACCACAACTGGTAGCCCATCCTTGTCAAGAATCTCTCGTTTGTCTTTGCCTTTATTGTAAATCTCATACTGCCGGCAAGTTGCTGCGGTTTCTTCGTCATCAGAATCTATAATTCGGCGCTCCAGAAGCTTGACCACTTGTGGATACGCAGGCGTAGGGTCATCTAGAGTCGGACTGGCGTCGGAAGATGTGTCCGTTGCCGATGAGCTGGATCTGCTGGTCGTAGTTGGAGATGAGGGCGATGGGTTACTGGCATTTTGATTTGGATAGATGAATATTTCCATTTTGATGTCTGGCCAGGTACAGATCCACGGCCTCTCTCCGTTTTGCGGACCGGAAGGTTTTGCCTGGAACTTTGTGGTGTCAACGGAGGGATTGCCAGTGTAGGTCCACTCGTCTCGTGTCTGCTGTGCTTGCATTGCACTCTCTGGGATGATTACAATCTTGTTGTATTCAAATTTAGACCACCATGCCGGTCCTCGGGAGGGCTCAAAAGAGTCATTGACGAGTTTAAGGCTAAGCGGGACTTCAATGCTTGGTGGTTGAGTTCCCCAAACAAAAAATGACTTGGTTCCGTTCACAGCCCTCATCGTGAACTCAAATTTTTCAACCTCGGACGAAGCATTCTGATTTGGGCCTACATGCATTGAGTAATAGCGGTTAGGCATCTCACAGCTCCAAGCTTGGGCTTGGGTGGTATCCTGGAAGCAAATTCGAGGAGATTGGGTGACGTCGAGAGGAGGTAGGTCAAAAAGGCCTGTGGCGAGTGGTGCTAGATCGGGGGGGATGGATGCTAAAGGCTCAACATCTGTTTGTGAAGACCGGTCGGATTTGTTTTTCCCTGTTAATACTGTACCGATAACTGCTCCCATGATAATGGCAAGAATCACCACGCCCGTTAACACCAAGCAAATTGCCCAGTAGGGGATAACTCCCCAAAGCCGTTTTCTGGCTCTTCTCTGCCATTTGCCCATTGGGAGCTTTTCTGTAATGGCCCTCGTCGCGGAGTTGAGGCCATTGCGGCTATTATCTGATATATTATCGCTTCGCAAAGACCTGCCGGATTGTCCTTCGAGCGATGCCTCATCAACATGGCGTACCACTGCTCCGGCAGAGGTCATCTCTGCCGGTTCCGAATTGTGTGTTGTTCGTGTGGGAGACGAGGAGTCGACTGGGCTTTGGGAGCCGTCAGGTTCAATGGTGATGGAATGAGCGGTTGCGGGGGGGACCGCTGCAGCGGCGGTACCAGTGGAGGGTGGAGTGACAGCTGAAGTGGAAGCAGACGCTGCAGATGGAGTGGTAGCTGATGGTCCGCTACGTGTATAAACTGGGTCGGGATATCGGGTGTAAGGTGGAAGCTCTTCAGTATGGCCGAGCGGGCCTATTAACCCTCCAGCCTCCTCGCCGTCCGGCCCAATTTGACGCTGATACGTGGTTGCTATACCAGGAAACCCAACAGGAATATGCTCGTCGCCCGTATCGTCCACCGTCATAGTATTCTGGGGATATAAACTATAGGGATGAGCTGGCCCGCGATCCGTATTTGCCAGGGTTGATCCTGGTGTCGATTGGAGACCTCCATCATTTCGTTCTGAGGAAGAATCTGAAGACAGTGCGGTTGGGCGAGAGAGGCTTGTTTGGGTTGTCGAGGCGAGGTTTGATCCATCATTTTGTAACGAAAATGAGTCGTGCGGTCGGTGTGGTTTTGAGACACTGGAGGGTCGCGGTATTGAAGGTCCAGGGTTAGGGTCCAGCAACACATTGATGTCATCTGTGGGGTTTGAAGTCGTCGGTTGCTCGGGTTGAGGAGAAGATGGGGCGTTCGCGGCGGATGAGGAGCTTATCGACCGCCGTTGTAGTAAAGGCTGCTGAGGGGGCTTGAAATGGCCCTGGGGATTCGCGGCGGGTGCGGCCAGGCTTGGAGCTGCGTCGGACGGTCGAAAGCCATCAGCGACGGCAAATTCGGTCAGATCATAACTTTCGTCGCTCTCGCTCTCGTTTGACAGACTCCGTGGCCTCTCCGTCGACGAACACCGTCCACCAGCAGCAGGACTACCGCCCTCAGGGAAGGCCATCTCGTGCGTGGCAAGCGAGGCGTTGTCGACGAGCAGGGGAATCGCCCCTTATAACAACCGCATACACACTGCTCCTGGCGACCGCCAGAGGCCGCGGGAAGCGTCGTCGGGTTGTCTGTATTATCACCTGTCCCGATGGCTTGCCGATGTCACCATTCGATCAGAGCGTCGTGCCGAATTTGCAGTTGGGCTGCAGCAAGGAACCTCGCCGGGAATTTCGATTGAGTCGAGGGAATTCGCGGACCCAAGGCGCCCGTAGTCAACGAGGCGAGGGGAGCCCCGTAATTGCTGCGAATTGCGTGAATCGAGGGCTCAGCGGGTGGGGGTTGGCGATGGATGGAATCGATGGCAGACACAGGTTGTTGATGGCGACTTGGAGGACTTGGGGTGGACGGATGGGAGGGCGAGGAACGGGCTGACTGTTTGGGACAGGACCAGCGGTACACGGTACATGGCGAGGAGGGAACCAAACCACACTTCAGTCATACATGTGGTGAGTGGGCCGCACTGAGCAGGTTAGAGCCTGGTGGTCACAATAACCCGTGCACCCAGCAGTGCCGGCGCGCTGCAGCGGTGCTCGCCGTAATCTTCCACGGTGCGCTACGGGGAAATGCCAAGCTGGCACTGGTGGCCCGAACCAATGCTAATCCGCTGTAAATGCGCCAAAATGCGCCAAAACAGGGCTGGATGGTGGGGCGTCCAGCGGCTGGGACAAAGGTCTTCCAGTGGGATAAGATTTTTTTGGCGCCTCTGGTGAAAACCGTCGGGCCGTCTGTGCATTGTTCCTACAAGACCTGCTACGTACGAGGTACCTACAGACCCAATACCTAATGTACTAACCCGCTGGCTTGAGTCTATTACGGGCCTGATGTGACTAAACGATGCGTGACGGCGTCAACAGTGCTCTGGGATGCGGATTCGTGGTCCCATCGACAGGAAAGCCAGGTATCAGGGCATGGAGAGAGAGCGCGAAGGATGCCCCTGTGGTTTCCTCCAATGCTGGGGTGGCCTGCATTTATCCAGCAACCATTAAGTTGGGAGCTGTGCCCCTTCCGTGCTGGAGCAGGAAATGCCTGAGAGGGGGGATGGACGACTACCTGAGCCAGCATCGGCTGGTGCACGCAGGCGGCGCTGATTGGCCGGGCGCCACACGAGTCGGGATCTCCTGCTGTTGTGCCCACCAACCGAGAACTGGATCTCAGAAAAGGCCCGTCGCCTGGTGCTGGCTGCTTGGCGTGTGGCTGCTGGTGCTGGAGTACGTACTGCACCTCATTTGGGGCGAGGCGAAGCATGCAGGCGACGACGGCCACCCCTTTTCCAAGTCGCAGCGTCGGGAGCCGTGTGCCGGATGCACAGTCTTCCCAGAGAGGACGTGGCTTGTGATGGCATTCACAAAAGGACTCTGCCTTCTTTTCGTTTTGGTCAGGGTGTCATCGGCCACTTGAGACATACTTTAGTTCGCTCACCATGCTGCCTACCGGTGCTAATTGACTCCAATATGTAATTCCGAGTCGGAATGAGGGGGCACGAACCTTGACAGCAACCAAGGAGGCCGGCCCCCCACCCTAGCGAATCTCCCAGCAATAAACCCAACCTTGTCGGCTCTTGGCTACCATCATTGTCTTGGCCTATGCCCCTCCCATGGCTCCCATGACTTCAATGCTGTGAGTCTCGACAACTGCTGCCGCCCAAGCAGCTGATGGAGAACGCTGGGCGTGGCGAAGTGCGCCCTCTGAACGCGCTCTGTTTGCTGATCGGCTTCCCCAGAAAGTCAATGGAAAACACCCCTGTCCGCTTTCAATCCAGGGAAATCATACGAGTGCCGAAACTTTAGCGCGCAGCGTCATTTGAGGACGCGTACCTCGCTGGCCCGAGTGCGTCCCCAGACGGTAGGGTTAAATAAATACTCGATGACACTCTTTCGAGGCGGCGACCCACGAGCATGAATAAGGTCATTTACTAGTCTGTCGGGCTATTTCCATCTGGAGGAAATCATTTTTAGCTCCGACCTCTCTCTCAGGTCCAAACTCAGAAGCATGATACACTCGTCTTTGCGATATCATGCTCTGCTTGTAGAGTCCTAGCTAGAAGTAGGAGTGAAGACTCGATTTGTCAAAAAGGCAGAAATCTGTTCCGAGTCTGGAGCAGAAAATTCTCATCAGACGACGGAATTGGCCTTGGTGATCTGTCACTGGGTGGATCGTCTCCTCCCGACTGCAGTTAGCATGTCTGGCTGATTGCCCAGGAACATAAGCCTGAACTGTTTATACATGGAGTATTAATTTGGCCGTTATTAGACGTTTAAGCATAACGTCAATTTTCAATATATTCCTTTCTAGCAGAAGATTTATTTCGTTATCTTTGTCAGAATCACCGCCACTTGAGAGGGAACCTCAGCTGCCAACCGGAGCTCCCGTAGTTCTGCACATCATCACACCATCTTCTCGATCCGAGATGATAGGTCGCGTTCAACACAATTCATGCAATGAGAGGACATGCAGTAGCCAGCCTTATTCCTCGTTTTCTAGCCCGAATAGACCTTACCCCGCTCGAATAAGCTGAGTGGCTTGATGTGGTTTGTTGGCAAAAGGTCCTAGTGGTGGTGAAGGTCGGCACTCTCAACTACTACGGCCTCCAATTACCAAGCAGGATTTCACATTGACTGCATCTGCACATTCGGTAGCAATGATACGCTGTACGTGAAGTGAGGCAACCATTTTTCTGCACTTTCAAACATGTAGGGTTAGATGATGGAGATATATTACGGTGTAAAGCCCAGCTGTCGCTTTCCTGTCCTCTCCGAGTCTTCACTGAGACCAGCTTCAAACGCATTTTAAACACCATTTCAGCAAACCAAATATCCAACAGTGTTAGTTTCAGCCTGTGGCCATTGACCAGATTTCAATTGCTAGCAGAGACACAATGGGTCGCAAGTCATCGCACTCGTCAGACTCGTCCGCTAGTTCATACTCGTCGTCGTCATCATCCTCGTCCTCTTCCTCCTCCTCCTCTCGTAGACACAAATCATCTAGGAGGAGTGATGATTCATCCAGCACAACATATAGAAGAATACCAAACCAACACAGTGGTGCCTTTAGCTTCATGGCTTTCGCGGCTGGTGCACCGTACAAGGCAACTGCTATCAAGAAGGTAACCACTTCAGACTACGATTCGCTGTACTGGGTGACCGGATACCGCTCGAGATCTCCCCCATCCTTCGTTGATCATGGGCGCTCGGCGGCGTCCGTACACCCGCCAGAGGGCCCGACCAGGTGGCCACCGGCAGGGCCACGACCTGCCGCGGCGATGCCTCCAAGAGGCCCTCCGGTTGCCCCTCCTCAAGGGCGTCCAGGCCCAGCTCATCCATCGGGGCCTGCAGCTGCCCCTCCGTTCGGCACGAGAGGCAGCGGACCTGTCCCAGGCGGACCAGTTCCTGGTCGTCCAACTTTCGGAGGTCCGGTTCGAAGTGGCGTGCCTGGGCCTCAGCCTGGACCGCGCCTTCAACCACATGTCTAGGTCTTCGAGATGATCTTGTCATGATGGCCATAAAATACAATGGCTACTATTCGCTGAGTTGCACTCACTAGTACAGGCTGTTGCCGCCATCGCGGAGTAACAGAACGCGGGATGACAGCATACGAGTGCCGGGTGAGAGCTTGCTTTCACCCTTTTCCTTACGACGTCAGAAAGGCCGGATATGAATTTGGGAAGAAACATGACGATTGTCTAAGCAACTGACCATGTGCCTTGTGCTGGGTCGCGAGCTGAGATAGGGAGTGGGGGAAGGCACTCAGCTCCCAATCGAATCGTGAGAAATTGGGTTGCACTGCATGGGCTTGTTCAGCTAGGAATTCTGACAACAGGATATGTATGTAATCATTCTTTCATGGGTTGAAATGCGTATGGGAATTACATAAACCGGCAGTGACATTCCCATGTCGGAAGTGCCGTGTTTTCCTCTTTTGTAGGGCGCGCCTGTGCGTGTTACTCTATCCAATTGGGTACTTCTGTTAGGAGATCGGATAATTGATGTCAATCTTAACACTTCTTGTCATTCAAACTCCACTTTGGACACCGGGGATTATCAGCTGGCTGATTCACCTGGCGTTCAACGGTTCCAATATGTCATGCATCACAGGCGAGGCGAATTGCCTTGGACGAAAAATCATACTCGAAGGGGAAGATGCCATTGAATCTATCCCAGTTCCAGCTGCATGAGGCAGCCAGGCAATTGATGCCCCACGCTGACGTGAGGACATGCGATGGGTTGTGAGGTTTCTTGGCTGCTTCGTGGGTGGTGTCCTCTGTGGCTGTTCACGGATTGATTGATCGCTGGCTTGCTGTGGCGGTGTCTGCGCGATGCTATTAACTCCCATTAGCTTGGATGGCCATCCGCCAATCCCCGGGAGGATCGGAGAGGCCCACTTGCGTGCACCTGCGGGCACTGTTTAGAGTGTGGTGCGGAGGACTGGGAGCCTGGTAGGGCGCTGGGGATTAGGCAGATACAGTGCGGTGAGGTGACGGCCTCTTTACGCTATGCGCGCTGGGCCTACGTATTGGCAAGGGGCCGAGGCCCTTGATCGTGCATCGATCCGCGCCAGAATGGACACTGTCAAGTGTCAAGTGTCAATCAAATCTACCTATATGCTTCCAATCCAGAGCGGTGACTCAGACCGCTGTTGACCTCCTGTCTGTGGCGCGCGCTCCGGCAATGCCACCCGCGCGTGCCACAAAGGTTCGCGCTACAGATCTGCGGTGCATTGGCCCAGCCACAACCATCAATGGTTACCAACGGCCTCTCACGCAGGACAACGACAGACATGGGCCCTTTTGCCTGGCCCTGTGCTGCCTGGAATGATGACCTGACATAGGCAGCCAAGAAGTGGTGCTTGCTTTACTAGTGCGACCAACAAGCTGCGAAACCGCCATCTTTGGTGCGATCCTGCGCCCCTGTTGAGCCAGCCCAGATCCATGCATGGGTGCCTTGCGTAAGACCTGCTGGATGCCGGTATCTCACCCTCTTACCTGTGACCAGAGCTAGCTGGAGATACGGGGCCATGGCAGTTGGCAAAAGCGGAGAGATGAGCCGCAACGTGGTTCGCCTTGTCTGCACCGTGTAGCCTGGCCACATATAAAAATAGCCTGCACCCACGATCAATGTTTTCCTCGAGAATTTCCTTCTAACAACCTCTCTAGGTTTCACAACCTGGAAACCAACATTCATCTGACTGCCCCCAACATACTGACCGGGCAAGCCAGTTGCCATATTTCTATAGTTTGACTTTGTTTCCCTTTCTGAATCCTTCTCTGCCTGTCTTTGCAACTGCGCCTCACTTCCTTTTTCTTCACATTCCGTCGTTACTGTCTCCTCCGGCGGCCTGAACATGGAGAACATCACGAATCCCGTTCAGCCGCCCGTCATGGGACCGTATCCGCAGTTTGCCCTGCTGGACACGTTTGTCCCGGGGTTCTCTGTCGCCTCCTCTCTGCTACAGACTCACCTTGGTATTGACTTGTCACTGTACCTGCCCATCTTGATACTGATCAGCGGCTCTACTTGGGCATGGTCCTATCTTTATTCCTACATTAGCGCACTCGTGGGCGAGCATCTCATGTCATCTGTCCGTATCCGCACGGATGATGAGATCTTCAACATGGTCATGGCCTGGGTTACTCAGCAATCGTTCGCCAGGAGGTCCCGAAACATCATGGCTAACACCAATGTCAACTCGCGCAGCCACGCCATGTGGAGGTTTTTCGAATCTGATGACCAGAACGAGGAAGAGGAGGAAGATGAAGAAGAGGATTTCTGGACCCGAAAGAAGAAGACCAAGCGCGACGTCCAGTACACGCCGTCCTATGGCTCACACTTTTTCTGGTTCCACGCTAGACCCCTCTTCTTCAACCGGATAGACAACCGCGATAACTCCAGCAGCCTCACGGCCTCGGAGAAGGAGGAGATCGAGATTTCTTGTTTCGGGCGCAACCCTGCTATTCTGAAGGCTCTTCTCGCCGAGGCCCGCGAGATGTACCATGAGAAGGACGAGTGCAAGACTCTTATCTACCGCGGCTCGACTGGTAATGCCAACACCAATTCCGAGCCTGAGTGGAAGCGTTGCATGGCACGATCCACAAGACCATTCTCAACCGTCATCCTTGAGGAGAAGACCAAGAATGATCTGATTGCCGATATTGCCGATTATCTTAACCCAGCCACCAGGAAATGGTATGCGAACCGTGGTATCCCCTACCGTCGCGGTTATCTTCTGCACGGCCCCCCAGGAACTGGAAAGAGTTCGCTCAGTCTGGCCCTTGCCGGTTACTTCAAAATGCGCATCTACATCCTCTCCCTCAGCTCTCCCATGTCATCAGAGGAGACTGTCTCTAGCCTTTTTGCCTCTCTGCCAAGAAAATGCGTCGTGCTTCTGGAGGATATCGACAGCGCTGGACTGACCCACACCCGAGACGGCAAGAGCTCAGAAACTACTGAATCTAACAACGAGGAGAACAAGACAAACGGAACCGCTACTAACACTACGAGCGGCAAGCTCTCCCTCTCGGGCCTGCTCAACATCCTCGACGGTGTCGCCTCCCAGGAGGGCCGCGTGCTCATCATGACCACCAACCACATCGAGAAGCTCGACAAGGCGCTCATCCGCCCCGGCCGCGTCGACATGACCGTCCTCTTCGGCCGCGCCGACAACAAGATGGCCAGCGCCATCTTCCGCAGCATCTACGCCCCGCACGAGGGCGAGGACATCCCCGTGTACGACGACCGGGTCGCGGACCCCACGGACGAGAAGGCCGCGGACCGCGAGGAGGCGCTCGAGAGGATCAATGAGCTGTCGCATGAGTTTGCCGCCAAGATCCCCGAGCACGAGTTCAGCCCTGCCGAGATCCAGGGTCTTCTGCTGCGTCACAAGCGTCATCCCCTGGCGGCCCTGAACGCAACTGAGGATTGGATCGTGCAGACGCGAAAGGAGAAGGAGGCCCAGGCTGCGGAAGAGAAGAAGAAGGAGGACGAGGAAAAGAAGAAGAAGGAAGAGGAGGAGGAGAAGAAGAAGGAGGAAGAGGAGAAGTGGAAGAAGGAGGAAGAGGAAATGAAGAAGAAGGAGGAGGAGGAGAAGGAGAAGGAGGAAAAGAAAAAGAAGAAGAAGGAAAAGAAGAAGAAGGAGGACGAGGAAGAAGTCTCAGAGGACGAGGATGAGGACGAGGAAGATGAAGACGAGGAGAAGAAGAAGAAGCGGAAGAAGGCCGACGCGAAGAAGCGCAAGGAGAAGAAGGCGGAGCTCGAGGTGGGCGACAAGGACAAGAAGACCCAGAAGGAGAGCTCCGACTCGGGTTACATTACCCCTTGAGGAGGGAGGATACGATGTACTGATATTGGTCATAGCTGGCGCTGATAGTTTGCTTGCATTTCTGGGACACGCATGGGGATTGCTAATGGTTTGGTACGGGTTTTAGGTTTGCGCTCGCAGAACGAGCTGAGAATGGCATATAACGACCCATAGATAATAGAATTGAGACTCAAACATTTGGCATGATGACATTCAACAAGTACGTTTCCAACAAGTGTTTTGTGTGTGGCATGGTGATATCGGGTAAGAGGTGCTCGGCGTAGGACGGACTGCTCGATCGAAGGAGGAGTTGTCCCATCGCCGAACCATTTCACCGCAAGTCTACGAGGCGAAGGGCGAGGAGCTCTGTGGGGTATTACTCCTAGTTCTGAGGCGCATGGCCATATGCCTCCCCGTAGATTCTCAGGAGAGGATTCTCAGGATAGCGCGTATAACTATTGCTTGTAAGTGGTCAATCATCACGAATAGTCCAGTACTACGGTTCATCCTGCCAGCATTACCAATCCATCGCCCCTCGACCAGGATGTCCTCCGCCCTTATTCGTATCCAGATCTCATCAATAACTGGGGTTACAAGGTTCGTCGTAGTAGTTGTTGTTGGGAGGGGATCCCAAGTGCATCCTCAACAGCTGCTTACGGTGGGAATGTATGGCGTATTCGGCGATGTGCCCTGGTCCCCTTTCTGCCTGCCGACCGGGCTGGAATCGATGAGATTGCCGCAATATCCCGCATGCCATCAACCTCATCAAAAGGCATGTACATCGCTCAGCCTCGGGGGATACAAGGTTGTGGTGGTGGTGGTGGTTGAAGCTCGAGAAGTGTGGAGTTGTGTTTGAATGCGATTGCCGATCTGGGCTGGCGCCCCAAACACGATTACGAATGCGATATGCCGAAGCTAGTGCCCTGCCATGCTTTTGCGGCCCCCATCAAATTGACGATGATGAGGGCTTTCCATTCTCTGGTACCTCTGCTTTCTTACCTTTCCGGCCATGTACATGCATACTGCAGCGCAGGGGAATGTGATAATTGGGCTGAGGGTGTAGCTGGAGCACGGTTCAGAGGAATAAGAAAAAAAACTGCCGGGGTCGTGTGTACCTGATATGTACAGATGCTACCGAAAATCGGGGCATTTCTTCACATGCACGGGAGAAGTTGGATGCATCCAGGACAATGGATACATG